ATGACCCGACAGGTATCGCTGAGCTGGTCGCTCACCTGCGACTATCATCTGTGCATAGCCACCAAGGGTATCCTGTAGCTTGGGAGCGATTGCATCGATCGCAGTGATCAGAGCAGACAGACCAAGGTTCGAGTCAACGGGGGGGCTCCGACTGTTGGGGGAGGGCGAAGTGTTGATCGGATATTCAGGTGGGTCAGATGCTGCAGTACCAGGGGTCGGGTCACTTGCACCCTTGATCGGATTATTGCCCTCGGCTGCAGCAGGGCCATGATGAGCGGAGTCAGAGGCAGGATCAACAGTTGAAGTGCTTGAGCCATCGGCAGGAGTTGGAATGAGTTGGAAAGTGGACCCTTCTGTCGAGATTGATCCGGCCTCCGGGTGATGAACTTTGGTGAGGTCGCTGGACGGCTTGGGCTGAGTTGGTTGATGATCGATAAGGATGAGCTCTAAGCTGAGAGTCCTTTGATCGACACCGCCCTTCTGGTTGGGTTTGGCAGCAAGAGTGATTTCGTGCCAAAGTTCATCGAACTCGACTTGAGAAGAGCTGTCAGGACCTCGAAATTAGTATCTATACGTAACCTTCCAGATCAAAATTAAGAGATAATTAGACACTGACATGGTAATGATGTCGCCCTCCGGGTCGAGGTATTGCAAGCCGATCGGTTGCCCCTCTGGGATTCCGAACCTGTCGACGATCGCCGCCGAAAGCTTTGACCAGACGGGCGCAGGTTGATTGGGTACTCGGACTTTCCGAGTCGAGTTGGCGTGTTTGATCTTGATAAATAAGGGTGCTTGTTGAGAAGACATGGTAGTTTGAATAAAGGTTTTATGTTGTTCAAAGTCAACGATACGAATATCTTGCAAGTATTGGGGTTGGGAGAAGACAGGAAGTGGACGCTGAGGGGCAACGGTCAGGGTGGGGCAAACCATGCTGTGGTCTGATGTGGGCCGGGATTCGGAGAGTACCGAAGCTACCCGGATCCCCCTAGGGGCTATGTATGGTGTATCAAGCCACACTGGGCACAATCGCAAGTCCCGCTTGGCCGAGCGCCACGAGGGCTTGGGAGTGTGCCCAGGGGGCTTGATGAGCTGGGTTGCGCGAGGCTCGGATCTTGGCACAAGCTGGGCCGACCCCAAGCGCTAATTGGCCAATCAGATCATTGACACCCAATCTCACCTCCTCACCTCAACAGACACACCAACAAGATGGTGAGTCTTTTCTTTTCTGTATCTTCATATGCTCTTTTTCTTGGGATTTTGGACTGTTGTTTTTAATTACAGTTGCAAACATTGACTGCAATTTTGAGTGTTTCAGAATTAACTTGGTTAATGCATCCAACCAATGGTTCTTTCTTTTCTCTGACCATCAGAAATACTTTAAGGGGCTTGGATTGACTCCCAAAAGTTGGAGAGTTGACTCCCAAAAGTTGGAGAGTTGACTCCCAAAAGTTGGAGAGTTGACCCGCAAAAGTTGGAGAGTCGACTCCCAAACCCCCAAAACCCCTGGATTCCCCATTATTTGGGAGTCAATCCCCCCAAACCGTCAGCGGGTTTGGTAGTTGGATCAACAAATATTTTAAATAAAAAAATGAAATCCCTGGAGGGGGAGAGAGTTGATGCTGGTTTTGGGGGGTTGGCAAACCAAAAACAGCCCCCAACTAGGGGTGAGGATGGGTTGGGTCGGGGCAAAAAAATGCCGACCCGACCTGCCCCAAAAATAAATGGGTCAGGTCAGGTTGAGTTACTTTTTCAAAAACTTCCGCCCCACCCCGACCCAAGGCCCACAACTTGGGTCATGGCAACGGTGGGCCAGTTACACTAACCGTAGTGTTAGTGTAGCGTAGTGTTAGCTTTTTAAGCTACACTACACAAAAGTTACCGTTAGCGGGAATTTTTGGCCCACTAAGACTACAGGATTTTTGAAAAACAAAAAAACAACTTTAGCGTAGTGTTAGCTACCTTCAAAAAGGCACAACTAACACTAACCAAAATCCTGTTAGTGAAATTTTAGCGGTGTTAGTGGGTGAACCCACTACACTACATGTTAGTGTAACTTTTTGCAAAGTTACACTAACAGTTAGTGTAGTGGTACCCTCAGTTACACTAACTGTTAGTGTAACTGACTATGTAGTTACATGACCACATGACTAGCGCTAGTCTACCCTGAAGACAGTGCCTGATTGGGGGGCCTACATCCAGATCCCCTCAATTGATCATCATTTTTTTTTAGTTGGTACTGGGGGCCACTCAATTTTAGCCCCCTGCCATTTTTTAATTTACTGGGTTCCATTCCCACACTTTTGTGTTCAATTTCCACTTTGACATCATGCAGCAAGGGGTGTGTGTGTGTGTGTTGAGGTGTATGATAGTCTGCTACCATTATGTATCACCAGAGTGTGGTGGAGCTGTTGGCATGGGCCATGACAACTACCACCCAACTGACCTGGTAAACACAAGCATCTGTAGCCTACACTATGGACAATTACCTGTCGCTGCGGTCCGCAGCGTCACCCAGACGTTTCAAGTCAAATTGAATTCTCATGCTACGTCAGCAGCAGCGACAACTCAATCTATGACACGACAGATCAGACTACATAGAGTGCAGCGGGTCACACGGTTAACTTGTAACCTTGGGCTTAGACTCTACAAGATAAATAAATACATTTTGCACTTTCAAAGTCTTCTGGCTCTCAGCTTCGCCAACGGGCAGCACCTCTGCAGTATCCAACCTGAACACCACCAGCCTTTCCGAAATCTCACAAGCGATCCAATTAGACCCCAACAGCACGGAGTCTACCGGGTCAATTGCCAATGCTAATCAGCCGGCCAACCTCACCACGTCCGCTTCAAATTGCTCTCTTGATGATGTGGACGTGGTGAGTACTGGTCATCAAGAGAGGAGTTAAATTTGTGTGGCGGGAACCACCCATCCTTGATAAGGCTCATTGGATGAGACTTATCGACACATGTTGTTTGCTGGACTAGCAAGAGTCCGGCTCAAGTTTGGATAATCTAAGACACATGAGTGATAGATAAGAGATTGAGAATGTCAATAATAAGGCCGCAAACGGCGGTACTGTTACAAGTGTAGCCGGAAGCGGCAGGAGAGAATAAATAGACAAAAGAAATTTTATGGAACAAATCGGTCTGGAAGACCATTCCGTGGAATTATCTTCACTAGAGCAGGAACAGACTCAGATCAATGCCACACCTAGCTTGAAAGCAGATACCCGCCGCCATAGTAACACTCGGGTCGGGATCAAAAGAAGCTTCAGCGGCACCATCAAGATCTAATACTTTTAGCATTACAGTCTCAAGCGTGGTCAAGTTTGTAGAATTACTACCCTAAAGTAAAATCCATCAGCTTTTATCACAGCACTTGAGCCTAATTTTCCTGTTCTCAAGTCACTGAATGAGGTGATACGAGTCCGGCAGTCTTGCTGGTTGAGTGGTGGTTGTAGGGCTTTTTGGACAGCCTCTGCATTGTTGGGTTCTTGTTGGTTCTTTTGCAGGCTCAAAAATTTACCTTTGATGCCGAGAAGCCAGGCGAAAAGTACCCTAGCGTCTTGAGTGGATGCTCCAACGCAGTCAGTGTAGCCTTTCAATATTAATTGTATTTTGTTTCTAATGAAAAGAAGATCGATCAAAGACTAACTATTTATCTGTTTTTTTTTTCTCCTACCAGGAAAACAAGGAGGTTGCTAACAACAAGCCCGAGAAGAACATTGAAAAGAAGCAAGTAGTCATGCTCATCACCAAGGCTTGATTTCTTTCCTCACCACTAGCGCTACTCAGCAGGATCTCTTTTTTCCTCTTTTATCTTTCTGTCCTGGTTGTATTGGATGTATCGAGTGCTGTTTATATCCCAGAAATGTAACTCCAGTGTGTTGTCAATCTATCAGTTATATTTTGTCGTTTCGAAATCTATCAATCATATGACTCTTATTTATCATTTACAAAACTGAGAGGAAAACCGAGCGAGCGGGCTGCTGGCATGCTTGGCAAATTTTATTGGGAAACTAATTTCAACACTTTCTCAACAAGATTGAGTGCAATTGAGGCGATTCTAGCAAGAAAGAAGGATGGAACCAGCACCCCACCTTGCGTTGCACAGGTCAAGTTCCATGATTCTTTCCCCCAAACGTCAATCTACAATCTCCAAGAAACAATGTTGGTAATTGGTCGTAAGCATCTGTTCCCTGCTCCTCCTCCTTCTTCTGTTGTATTCAAAATCCTGGCCAAAGATAAGCAAGACATTAATGGTCGTGATCTGTCTCTGCCGGATCCTGAATACTTCGATGTAGTCATTTCGGCCTTTCTGGAATACTCGATCTTGCTGGGCTTGGTCGGGATATCGTGTTACTACCTCACAGGGTATCTGCAAAACAAGCACCAACTCAACCGCTATTCGGGGCCCTTCCTGGCCAAGTTTTCGAGGCTTTGGCTTGGCTATGCTACCCGCTTCGGCAGTCGCTATCAGATCATTCATCAGCTCCATCAAAAACACGCTTGCCCATCAAGCTGCTGCTTCTGAAATCTTGATGGTGTTTGCTTGCAGGTTGGAACATTTCACTTCATTTCAATTGTATGTCACTAAGTTTTTTTTTTTGCTAATGCAATAGCTGACGTGTATTCAAGTAGATGAAAGAAGAACAAGAACACAAAACGACAACACTCAAACATGAAGAGAAGAAGAAGCAGAAGAAACCGAAAAAAACAGATTGGAAGGGGGGGGGGAGAGGGAGAGAGAGAGACCAACGCAGTAGTCAGTAGTCAACTGCTCTTCGGCAAGCTAAGCCAGACCAAAGGCCGACTGAGGATCGGAACGTCAGGAGAAGAGTGAGTACAATGTCCTGAATCCGGAGTGAGAAGGAGGGGGGGATGGCTAGGAGGATGGGGAGAGAGAGTTGAACAGATCCATGGAGAAGATATTGTTAGAGGGGTCATGACTAGAGGGCGGGCCGTTAGCGGAGAATCTGGGGGAGTTTGTATTGGAGGGCCAGTCGGCGATAGAGATACCGGAGGAAGGGTTGAGGGTGGAACTGGAGGAGGGCGAGCCGGAGGAGGGTCTTCGGTTGGCCAGGAACGGGAACTTGGAAGTTGGATTGATGGCTCTGGAGACTGGCAATGATCATATGTAAATACAGTGCTTGCTGTCGCTTCGAGGGGGCAAGTGTCGTTGCAGATCCAACTTTGATTTGGTCGCGCGATATCTGAAGCTGCTGGGAAACGTCAGGTGACGCTGCGGGCCGCTGTGGGATGCTTTATGGTATACCATATTGCTAAAATAAAAATTATATTCATTTTCTCTTTCTTACTCTATTTTACTCTATTTTCTCTTTAGTTATCACTTCATATTTCTACAGAATCAAACTCTAAGGCTCAAAATACCCTTACTAGCCACTTACAGTTTATTCATAGCTCTACTCTCTCACACTCTACATCATTACTGGCACTGACACCCATCATTTACCAACCCTAAAGGATACATATACAGGACATCACCTGCACAGACATACACACAGGCAAGGAATGACTGGCCTGCATGACCAATACAAAAGTATACATGCAGGTACAGCAGGTGCAGTAGGTTGCAGCAAGGCGCATAAGTCCTGCATGACCAGTACAAAAGTATACATGCAGGCACAGCTGCTTGCATGAGTGGCTTGTCACTGCCTAGCAACTGCCTATTACATCAACGACAATCTTACACAAACCTGCAGGATACACATCAAATCCTGACCAATCACAAGCAGTCATTCAGCCTGCAGCCAACCTCACACAGGGCTGTACAATTCCAACCAATCATATTCAACCATTCAACATATGTAGTCCTCATGTACCTAGTCACACTGCCTCATGTAGTGCCCCCCTTGGGGCCAAAATACCTCACTCTTGTCTATATAAGGAGGCTCTTGTCAGCCTCTGGGTAACTAACCTGAGTATTTAATAGTAAAAAGGTTGTTACTATGAGTTGACTGAAGTTTTTGAGCGTGGTGAGTGTTAGGTAGTGGGTGATTAATACCAGTCCTGTAAAGAGGAGGTTTCACTCTATCAGTATGGTCTTTACTGAGAGGCTTGCTATCAACAGCGCATCCGGATCAATACAAGGTATTAATAGGCATCCAGGGTACTAAGACTCACCTGGGATTGATTTGGTTATTCCCAAAAGGGAATGGGCTAACAATACTTATTAAGCTTTAACAAAATTAGTTGAAGATTAACAGGTATTGTTGATGGGAATATTCAGCAAGGCTATGAATACTGTGGATAAGTTGAGTAAGAGTACTGAAGCTTAAGAACAATAAATATAGACAAGATTTATGTTGGTTACGGGTACTGTATCAATATAAATGTTAACTGGTTTTTAACTGGTGTCTGAATATTCTGGGGATTAATCAGTGAAAGAGGCACGGATTATAAGTTCCAGAATACTGAAGGGGGGAAAGAATGAGCGCTCAGAATCAAGGGAGCTTTGGCCAGGAGAATGAGCACATCAATTGAGTGACTGATCATTATTTGTCATGATCTGTAAGTGACATCATAATTGTGTACTAGTTGATCAATGTACTAGTTGCTCTTGATGTGTACTTAACAGATCCTCTAATAATGTAGTCATAATTGTGATCTGTGCATGTATTGAATGTATTAATTCTATTGACACTTAATACTTACTATTTAATACATGTACATATTTATTTGTAATAATATTTGACCGTGAAAATACTGTAGCAGAGGGATAACTTGTGGTACAGGTATTTCACGGACAAGGGAGTGAAAAGTAAGTGATAATTACTTATGTAGAACACAGGTATGTATTTAAATAGATAAGTAATTAACAGATAAGATAAATGTAAGATAAATAAGATAAGATAAGTTAATGATAATAATAAGATAACAAGAGGTAAAGGTAATCAACATTATGGATAAGTACTTATGTACATAAGTACAGGTGTTGCAGTTACTTGGTACATGAAAGGTACTGTGACATGTACTCTGTGGCTGACACTTCCTCCCTCTAAAAAAGGCTGATCCAAGAAATAAATGAATGTTATTTTCTTTTATCAGATCTGTATTGTCTGAGAATTTTATCAGCATCAGGTATTTTATCAACTGTAAGCCATTCATCTTCTTTGGTACCACTGTATCTTACTAAATACTGTTTAATGTCCTCATTGTTTTTTCTGATTTTTCTATGTTGTAATATCTTCTTAATTTTAATTTCTTCTTTCTCTAAAGGAGGTATTACAACTCTGATGTTATCTTTTCTTAAAGGAAATTTATCATTATCACTAGTTTTGTATGGTTTAATTAGACTGACTGGAAATGTAGGGTGTTTTCTTTCTAATTCTCCAGTGAGTATAACTTCAACAGCATTTGCACCGTGTAATTGTTTGATTGTAAAAGGTCCTACAAAAGAATCTCTTAATTTTTTAGGTCCAGTCAGGTTTGTAAAATTAAATGTAGATATCAAGACTTGGTCTCCAATTTTAAACTGGTGAGCTTTGTGAGTTTTATCCCATCTAGTTTTGTTGTGATCTACAGCTACTTTCACGCATTCTGCTGCATATTTTTCAGCTTTGGTCATCATAAAATGAAAATCAGAGGCACTGGGGTGTATATGTACTGCTTTTGACATTAAAATTTCTTTGGGAAACCAAGGAGTCCAGCCTCTTTCCAATTCATAAGGTGTTTTATTTGTTGTACTGTGTTTGCTAGAATTGTAAGCATATTCAAGTGCAGGTAATAATGAACACCAATCATGAGTATAGTTGTCTTTATCCTTAAATGTCATTCCATAGGCACAATATCTTCTGATCATGTCTTCCAAAGTTTGAATCATTCTTTCAGCTAGTCCATCTGTTTGGGGGTGGTAAGCTGTAGAAAATTTCAGTTGTGTCCCACATAAATCATACAAATTTCTCCAAAATTCTGACGTAAATTTAGGGTCTCTGTCTGTAATGATATATCTGGGACATCCAACATCATAAATAATAGAATTCCAAAATAATAAGGCAGTATCCATTGCTGTATCTTCTTTATGACACGGTAGAAATCTTGCTCTTTTGGAAAATCTATCAACTACTACTAAAATTGCATTGAAATTATTAGGTCCTCCGGGTGGTAAGCCAGTAACAAAATCCATGTTAATAACAGACCATCTTTCTTTGGGTTCTTCAATTTCTTGCAATAATCCATACCTTTTTCCTGTAGCTTTATTTGCTTTTTGGCATCTGTCACAAGATTCACAATAATCTTTGGTATCATTTCTAAAATTAGGCCACCAAGCAATTTGTTTAACTCTCTCAATTGTTCTGTCAAAGGAAAAATGAGCTGAGGATATATTGTCGTGACATTCTTTCAAAAATAAATTAATGTGTTCTTTCAAACAAATAACTACTACACTTGTATGTTTAATTCTGTGGTAAATTAATCCATCTAATAGGGAGAATCTATTTTCTTTAAATGAGCTAAGCCATGGTTCTTCTAAGGAATTTATCAGATCATTATTTTTGAAATTACTTTGAAATATATCTTTTATTGTGGAGCAATTTTTATTTTGGTCATAACTAATTCTGATTTCATCCCAAAATTCTTCTTGCATTTCAGTCACGTGTAACCCACAAATATTAATATCATCAGTGTTATCATCAAAGGCAGGATTATTTTCATTATTTTCCCCTGGGAATAAACACATAATTTTTGCAGCAATTTCTCCGTCCCATGCTGGGTTATCTGGTATATTTTCCAAAGACCATCTACTAAGTCCATCAGCATTTTTATGTATATTACCTTCTCTATGTTTGATAGTCATACTTCCTCTCCATTCTTGAATAGCTATTTGCCATCTGAGCATGTGTCTATTTGGAGTTTTCATACTTAATAAACTTTTGAGGGCTGTACAATCAGTAATGACTTCAAATTCACATCCATCAAGGTAATAATATAATTTATCTAGGGCCCAGACTAAACATAAACATTCAAGTTGGCTGGCCCCATATTTTTTCTCACTGTCTTTCAAAGTTCTAGAAATATAACAAATGACTCCTTCTTTTGGTATTTCTTGATCTTGAATTTGGTGTAAGGCAGCTCCCAATCCTTCCATACTAGCATCTACATATAATTTATAAGGCTTATTAGGATTAGGCATAAATAATATAGGAGCAGAAGTAAGTAATTCACGTAATTTATTAAATGCAGCTACTCTATCTACTGTCATCTCAAAGGCAGTGTTTGGGCTGCTTAATTTATATAAACAACCTGTTACTTTGGCAAAATCTTTAATGTGTTGTCTATAATAACTAGCAAAACACAGAGGAATGACTGTATTTCTTTAACATTAGTGGGCATAGGTT